TAAATAAAATTGACAAATTCATTCATCAATTGATTATCTGACGATGATCATAATGATGATGCTGACAATATCACAAGTCATGATGATGTTGATGATGATTGTTATGGCAGCAACAACAACAAGAACAATAAGACCAACAATAATTTTAATGATAATGATAATGTCATTAATAATAATGATGATTATAATGATAATAGTAATAATCATCATTATTATTGTTATCCTTATTATCATCATTATCATCATTATTATAATGATAACAAAAACTATGATAATAGTAATAATAATAATAATAATAATATAACAATAATGATTATTATTGTTAATATTCCTCTTATCAATATCATTATTATTATATAAATGATAATAAAACAATAATAGTAAATATAATAATGATAATAATGCCAATAACAAAAATAGTAATTATTATGATGATAATGATAATAGTAATAATCATCATTATTATTGTTATCCTTATTATCATCATTATCATCATTATTATAATGATAACAAAAACTATGATAATAATAATAATAATAATAATAATAATAATAATATAACAATAATGATTATTATTGTTAATATTCCTCTTATCAATATTATTATTATTATATAAATGATAATAAAAACAATAATAGTAAATATAATAATGATAATAATGCCAATAACAAAAACAGTAATAATTATGATGATGACGACGATAACAATCAAAATAACAAAGAAGACATTAATAACAATAATAACAATAACAACAACAAAACAATCACAAGAATAATAATGAGAATAATAATGAAAACATGAAAATGACAACCGATGGTATTGAAAAGAAGACTAGACAGCAACAAAGCCTTTATTTTTGCATACACCCACTTAAGATTTTTTTTTTTTTTTTTTTTTTTTTATCGAATTGCTGTAATTTCTTTCGTATCTTGCTTTTAGCGTAGACACGGGCCATTACTCAAAGAAAATTGGTGAGAGTTTTGCAATCAATTTGCGAATAACAAAAGGTGGATTGATGCATAATTCAGGATTAATTAGCTCATTACTCAAATGATTATCTCATTATTTGTAATCATTGTAAAATTTGAGGCTTGTAAATGCTTCTGCCTGCCTTGGATGATACAATAACTTAAGGGTCATTTAAGATGGTATTATTCTTGTGGGAGGCAAGGTGGAGGGACGGGTGGTAAGGAGGACCAGAGATTGATTGATAGATAGATAGATAGATAGATAGATAGATAGATAGATAGATAGATAGATAGATAGATAAAAATATATATATATATAGAGAGGTAGATAGATAAAGATAAATATATATAGAGATAGATACATAGATAAAAAAATATATATAGGTAGATAGATAAAGATATGTATGTATATAGAGATAGAAATAGATAGATAGATAGATAGATATAGAGATAGGGACGTGGGCAGACCGTCAGGAAAAATTAGAAACTGGTAAAGACAAACAATGCAAGGTTTAAACACCAGCCAAACTGTTAGAAATATAAAGATATATATACAGATAAACAAATAGACAAAAACATATCACATACACAAGTAAAAAACAGACAGACACACACACACACACACACACAACACACACACACACACACACACACACACACACACAACACACACACACCACACACACACACACACACACACACACACACACACACACACACACACACACACACACACAAACGCGCACACACAAACACACACACATACAAAAAAACATACAGAGAGGCAAAGAAAGTGACAGAGACAGAGACCAACAGACTAAAGCAGATAAAAAGCACCACAAACAGCATAAAAAGGCAGGGAGAAAAGTAGCCTAGCTTTGCGTGTTCGTGCTTGTGTGGACCAAGCACGCATTAAAAAGAAAAATATGAGGACCACCGTCTGACAAAATCCCTCGAGTAGCAAGTTAGTTATTTGTTTTTCTTTTTTTTATCAAGAATTAGGAGAGAGAGAGAGAGAGAGAGAGAGAGAGAGAGAGAGAGAGAGAGAGAGAGAGAGAGAGAGAGAGAGAGAGAGAGAGAGAGAGAGAGAGAGAGAGAGAGAGAGAGAGAGAGAGAGAGAGAGAGAGAGAGAGAGAGAGAGAGAGAGAGAGAGAGAGAGAGAGAGAGAGAGAGAGAAGAGAGAGAGAGAGAGAGAGGGGAGGGGGGTTATCAATGTAAAAAAATGAAGATAAAGATAACTATGATAATGAAGATTTAATGACGAGAAGAAGAAAGACACAAAAAGCATAAATCAATACATAAGTGAATGAATAAGTTAACTGATGAATTGAAATATGTTAATAGTACACACTTGATTGCCGTTGATAATAGGTTATTGTTTCCCGCATTTTGTATTATTCATTTTAAATTACAATCATCTTTATTATCATAACAAGTAACGTAATTGCCATTTCATTATGTATATTGTTTCATCATTATGAACATTATAAGTATAATCTTTTATGAAAATGAAAATAAGATTAATATAAGAA